AGTAATGCAAAAACAAATCTCTGTTCGGTTGCCAATGACCCGAGTGGGTCATTTCAGGCCAAGTGGACTTCCAAGTGAGGACGGGGGTTCCCCTAGAGAGGGGTAACCCCCTGACCCTTTCTTGGACATTGGGAGGTACCAGGCAGGTTTGTGCCCCGCAGGAATACCCTTTGGGAGTTTTGCCAAAGAACTAAGGTTGGCTCACTCCAAAGTTGTTTATAGTAGGAGTCTGGAACAGTAGGGGTTACGATAGGGGTCTTATAAAACAAGCAGAAGAGGACTAAGCTTGGGCTGGCAGTCAGTGTTTGCAGAATGGAAATACAAAATGGTGCACGATGGTACCAAGTCACGTACTCAGCAAGTCGTCCCGGCGCACACCAAGGCAGCTTGGCCCCAAAGGTGGGGAAGTTTGTGCTGTATTTGCACAGCTACCCATCTGGGGGAGGGTGGAAGTGGGAGCTGAAGCTGACTGCTCCTGCAAGCAGGCTTTTCCCCTCTTCACCTGGGGATATTTGGACAGCCACAGCTGAGACACTGTGTTTAGGGACTGAAGACTTAGCTGGCCAGCCAGGCTCTGGTCTTAATGTTCCAGCTGGAAAGGGCCACTGACTGAGTTTTCTAAAGGACATTTTGTATAGTGTCAGAAATGTGCAATGCCTGCTTATCAGCAAAACAATGAAAGGAGACTGTAAAACTGTGCCTTTCTGTATAGGGAACAAGGGGAGCAACATGCTGTGTTCTGCAGATTTGAAACACAATTCTCAATAAAGTGAAAGTTTCATAACTTGTCCCTTTACTTCACTCACCACCCCTGTTACACCTTAATTTCCTTTGAGGGGCTGTTCAATTCCCCTGTGCTCCTTCTTACATAAAAGGGGGGTGGGAGGGAGGGAATCCCCCTCCTCTCCTACATAACATGCAAATTAAAAAGCCCATAATTTAGGCTTTTTGCAAGTGACCTTACTCTCATCTGTCACTACCCAGCCTACAATGTAGGTAATTCCCTTTGCAGGTGTCAAGGTCATTAGGCAGACATACAGTTTCTGGAGAATTCACTTTCTTAATTTCTGTGCATTTCCAGTTAATGAGGTTTATCAAAGGATATATGTGTATGTGTCACACTATGCTTGTGGACCTTGTGCTGGGGAAAGGAAGAAGGTCATCCAGCAACTTCAGCCCCACATCCTCCCAGGTCCTTGCTCCACCTCAGTCCCATCAATGGTCATTTTCCTTCCATTTTCACTCAGCATACAAAACCCTATTTAAATTAGGGAGGAAGGAGGCATCTATAGGGTGCTTAGCACTGAACAACCATCATCAGATGAGAAAAAAAAGTGCTCTTCCAGACCATTCATGTCCTGGCACCAGGTGGCAGTGACTAGATACCTTTTAAAATAGAGATACCAAACCCAACATAGAACTCAAATAGAGAAAATCAACTTTGCTGAGCAAAGGTCGTGGTTTCCCGCAGGGCTATACTTCTTGTTACTAAAGATTCAGGTTTCAGAGATACTGTTGTGAAACCTTCCTCCCACTTATACTTTCTACAACAAGGAACTGGAAGTGTCAGGGAAATGTTTCACTGGAAGCCAAGCCAATTTTTAGATGACGGGAAACATTAGATGGGGAAAGGGAAAAGGTTTAAATAATCTGAGCACAAAGAATCCATGTAACTTTTAGGTGAGAGTTAACAGGAGTTTCCTCCCTACTTTTACCACATGTCTCTGGAAGTGGGAGAAAGAATGTCCACTTTTGAGACATGGGTGCTTGGTGGTGCTTGGCTGCTTGACTTGGGGTCAAGCTTGACTTGGGGTGCTTAACCCCAAGCTGCATACTGTGGCAGCTCCCCCTGTTCCCATCTTTTATCCTGTGTTGTGCAGCAGCAGCAAGCAGAATATTAGGAGCAAGGCAGAAGGTTAAGCTCTGTGGGTGTAACACAGGACAGGCAACCAGAGTCCTCTCTGCCAGGCCTTGCTTGGGTGACAGAGGTGACCCGCACTGCTGGGGGAGTGCCCTGCGTGGTGCCAGGAGGGCACCTCAGCTGCAGGCTCAGCTGGGTGGTTATTTCTGCTGTGGTAGCTCTGGATCTTGCACTACTTTTGGTGCACTTGCTCTCAGAGGTCCCAAAGGATCTCAGTCTCTAGCTCTTCTGCATTATCAACAGCTTCCACTGTGGTGCTTAACTTGGGATTTCATGTTTTTTTAACTGACCTGTATTTTTCTCAGGTCGCTGACAATATTGTTAGAAGTTACAAGGCCAAAACCTCATTCTGGCCCAGAAAATCTCAAATTGCTGAAGCCTGGGGAAGTATTCTGGAGAAGGAGCCTTGTGTCTTATTCCTGTGCTCTTGCAGACATGTCCACCATTGGCCACGTCAGACACAAATTGCTGGGCTGGTTAGTCTGATCCCATGGGACTGCCATATATTCTCACAGCTATGCTTGGACCCTAAGCTTGTTTTGGAAAAAAAATAAAATAAAATAAAATTCTGCATGGTCTTCAGCTCCATTTCATCAGTCAAGCTCCAAATACAAGTAGTATGAATTCTATCTTCTAGAAGTGTGAAAAGATTACATGTGTCCATAATCAGCCTGGAGTATGCAAGTAAGAGTTTAGCTGTAGTAAGGATTATCATAAATAAATACAAGAGATGACTGCAAAAACAGCAACAGAAGGGTTTAGTGAGGAAAAGGAAAATACAGAACAGAAACTGTCACTTGTAGAAGACCAGATCTGGTTCCGTATACAAGCCCTTCTAAGAATACAGCAGCATATGACAGAATGCTTATTTGCAAATAACAGTTAGTGGAAAATGTGCTTTATGAGGTTTGTTTACTTATTTCTTGGCAAGTCTGGCTTGCAAGGAATTCAATCCCAAAGCATCCAATTAGAAAATCTTCCAGAGCAAATCACTAAGAGCAGTGCACAGCTCTCTGATCTTCATGCTCCTATCAATAGTTTCTTTCAGAGTTTCATGTTCTTTCATAAATGCCACTTTCCCATAGCTTTGGAAAAGAATGAATAATTTAGGCAAAGAATGAATAATACCATCCCCATGTGCAGAGTTGGGAATCGAAGCAAGGAGGCCAGTACTGATACTGTCAAACTGCTATGGGTTCTGAATTAGATGAACATCTTAGTTCCCCTGGTGTCCAGAT